CTCAAGACTATCTGAAGTGGAATATCACTTTGATTCACTTACCATAAGTCATTTGATTGAGATCATTTGCTTAAGTTTTCAAATTGCTCCTGTCCATGGCTGTCATATTTTCCCTAATAGTAAATAATTAATTCTCCACTAACCCCTCCCTCCATTCCACTAATTCTTTCATGACCTAAATATCTAAATGTTTATTACTTCTTTAAATAATAATTCTAATATCCAATTACTGAGTAAAGAATTTACGTTGGCTGGGCAGGATTAGAGGCAGTTGCACTTGTACATTCCAACTTGTCCAGCCATGGTGGGGAGGGAGATATTTTAAAGGAATAAAAACTAAAGGGTAAGAGTTATTCCTTATATCGTCCTTTCCACTCCAGTTTTTATGTAAGACAGATACCTATTGTGCATATACTACATCTTCCCATCTTGCTAATCCCCTGCCATTGTAAAGAGAAGGTTCCAAATAAGCAATGTTGTGAGAGGAAAGAGCATGATTACTTATTTACTCCTTTTGAAACTTTTTGATCAGTGTCTTCATATACATTATGACATGTTATTCCAAATGGTGACCAAAAGCATTTACTAGTTCATCTTATGACACACGATTGTTTTATATGTCTAAAGAGATTTGAAACTTAACAGTCAAAGCTTTGCAGCTGTAATATTTAAACATAGATTTAATCTAAATATAAAAAGAATAGATATATAGATGTGTATGTGTGCATGCACATGGGTGTGCACTCATGGCTGTGAGTCAGTGTGATTGGGAATTTGTGAACATCTCAATACCAAAATTTATGATTCAAAGACTAAGAATATGCTCTGTTATTTAAATGTTTAGAGATCTAATATTATCTGACTAGAGAACAAAAGAGCAAAGCTGTAGTAGGTGAAGACAAGTCATTGTGTCTTACAGCCTCTTTTTTGAGTGCATTCTGAGCTCTTAGCAACATGACTGACACAATCTTTGTTGGGAATCTTGTGTCTTCTGATGGAAATATCAGAAATGAATAGAAAGAATGCTCAATTTGTGCTTTTCTTGTTCGGTCACATACTTCTACCTCCAGCCATATGTCATTAATATAGCTAATGGGAATTTGGCATCTAACTGACTGGGAAGGGATGAAATAAATGTGGAGACAGGCAAATGCCAATGACATGTGCAAGGAAAGCACTTGGTATTTCTGTTTAAGCAGTGCCAGCTCCATCAGCCTTCCCTACAGCCTTCACTGACAGGGTTGGAGGCCCTTCTGTACATGGCCATGCCTCATGTATTCATGGGTTGCTGTGATCCCACAGCCCCTTTTGTTAAGAACTGAAAATACAGCATGTTGCTTTGCTACTCTCAGCTGCCATATGGCTTTGTGAAAGCTGGCCTAAAAGGAAGCAGGAAGAAAGAAAAAAAACCACTAGAAATAAAACAACCAACAGATGAAATTGATTTATTTTCAGCACTAAGAGATGTGGGCGGGGGCCTTTCAGAAACATAAAACTTTGCACTGAGTAGGCAAACAGGCTGCTCATGTGACAGCTCTTGTATACGCTTTTTAAAAAAATAACATGTGGCAGAAAATAGAAGCCCCATTGTTTTACTTAACTACTGTATCCAATTTGAGTGAAATGGAATTTTCAAGTTTAAGGAAACTGACTGTCCCATTTGCCAGTGTACTTTCTTCGTTTGACAAAATACTTTAGAACTTTAACATATGTATTCAGCATTAGCCTTTTAAAAGTTTATCTTACGCTGAAAGTTTTGCGAATAATTCTGGACTGTAAATCGCTTTATTTGAGTTTTTCTACTTTAGCTTCTCAATTTAGGCAGTTATAGCACTCTTCTAAATTGCTTTAAAAGCCTAGTCGAATATATCTAAAGGATGGGTTTAGAAATGACATTTTGTCATTCTGTAAAGATGTAAAAAGGGTGCTAGAAAAACAAACTAATAAAGGAAATATATTTGAAAAGACAATCATATCTCTGAACAAATTTATTAAATTGAGGTATTTCAATTTTAAGAATAAGAATATTTGAGTTCCAGAATATTATTTTATCAGACTATACTGTTTTCAATTGTACATTTAAAATGATAAATAAAGGTTAGTGTAATTGAGGACACAAGTATACAGAAATAAAGATTGTTTTATTGATTTATTGATATTTCCTACCTTATTTTCTTAGTTTAGTGCTTAAGTGTATGTTGCTGAAATACATATGTTATTTTCTAAGAGTTTCCAATATTTATATAAATAATTCTAACCACTGAGTTATCTGTTCTTTAATTTTGAACTTTTATTTTAAACATGGGCTAAAATATATCAGGTTCAAGTGAATACCTAGGAGAAAGTAGGCTGTATACATTTAAGGGGCTTCTTTCTTAATGTATTTAAAAACTTCAGAGAAATAGCTCCTTGTAGTTGGTCTGCATGACATTAAGTAGAGTCATAGTTTAGCTCTATCACAAATTTTTTGACTTTGGCAAATCACGTAATATTGTTTCACCATACATTCTTTTCTGTCTCATAATTTTCCTAATTTTTAAAAACTATATCCGTGTATTGAAAATAATATCTCGCTTCAAAGTCTAGAATTCAAATAGATAAAATTAGTGCTGCTTTGAAAATCTTCAGGTGTCTGCACAAAGTTGCTTCATGAGATTTGGTACCGTTCTTCCCCTCTTGGTGGGTGGGCCCTTGGCAATTTCTTTGGAGAAGCTGGTTGCATAATTTGTAAAAATACTTATCAATCTAAAATTGAATTATTTCATGAGGAATGAAATTGATGGTACCTATTGATTATGGCACCTGTGTATTGGTTGATTTGGAAGAAGAGGCTCAGGTCCATACTGGTTCTATGGGCATGAGGTTATTTTATATACCATTTACTAGTCAATTAAATTTTGAGCACCTATGCTTTGGGCTAGATTTGAACATTCAGATAAAGACAATATTAAAATTACTTGCTAAAAGTTATATTTATATACTACTTATGTTTGATATGTATATAATATCTTTAACATAATATTCTTACTTATATATTTTTAAGTAATAGACGCCTACACGTAGTTAAGAAAGATATGTATTGAAAAGGAATTTAAAAGGTAAAAATGTCTTCTCTTGTTTTCCTGCATGAAGTAGATTTATTTTTATTAAGACCACATGGCATTTGGCAGTGTGGTTTAGAATTGTGAAACTCAAGAAGAGATTATATTACCTGAATTAAAAATACAGGGAAGGAGAAAGAGCAAAATTTGTTTCAAATAACATACATATATTAAAAAACATTTTCAGTTTTGAAATGAATTGCTACCAGCAATTCTTTGTGACTTTAGTCTCTCTAGATCCTTCTCATTCTGCAGCTGTACTAAACAACTGGCCATCTTGTGAATCACAAAAAATTAGGTTCCTCTTTAGCAAAAATCTGGGAAGCATATGGCGGTGTGCATGTGTAATGCATCTTTGTCTCAGAGTTCAGACAATGGCATGTTGCTTATAGCTACTTTGTGTACGTCTAATTTTTGCTCCACAAGTTTTCTAGGTAAGAGAAAGCAGAATTGTAGCTGCTTCTAACCTACTTTATCATTACTTGTTCAAAGGAGAATGTACTGTAACAACTTGGCATTTTGAGTGATCTCGACAGAGGTCAGAAAAATCTTCTCTTGTATGATGTTTTGAGCCTTGATGATATTTCTGCCTTATTTTCTTTGTTCTTTTGTTTTTAAACATTTGTCTTAATGTTCATTTTTAATCAATACATACTAATTTTACATGTTTATGTGGTACATATAATGTTTTGATACGTGCATATAATGTGTAGTAATCAAATTGGGGTAAGTAGAATACCCATCACCTCAAACATTTATTTCTTAGTGTTGGAAACATTCCAAATCTTCTCTTCTAGCAACTTAAAATATACAATAAATTATTAACTGTAGTACCCTACTCTGTTATCAAACACTAGCACTGATTCCCTTTTTCAAAGAGTATTTTTGTACCCATTAACCAACTCTTCCTCCCCTACTTCACTTCCCAGCCTCTGGTAACCACCACTCCGCTCTCTACCTCTATGAGATCAAAATTTTTAGCTTCCATATAAAAGCAAGAAGATGTGGTATTTGTCTTTCTTTGTCTCGTTTATTTCACTTTACAAAATGTTCTCCAATTCCATCCATGTTGCTGCAAATAGCTTATTATTTTTAATGTATTTACATATTTTGATTATACTTTAAGTTCTGGGATACATGTACAGAAAGTAAAGGTTTGTTACATAGGTACACATGTGCCATTGTGGTTTGCTGCACTCATCAACCCATTATCTAGGTTTTAAGCCTTACATGCATTAGGTATTTGTCCTTATGGTATCCCACCCTTTTCCCTCACCCTGTAACAGGTCCTGGTGTGTGATATTCCCCTCCCTGTGTCCATGTGTTCTCATTGTTCTATTCCCGCTTATAAGTGAGAACATGTGGTGTTTGATTTTCTGTCCCTGTGTTAGTTTGCTGAGAATGATGGTTTCCAGCTTCATCCATGTCCCTGTAAAGGACATGAATTCATTCTTTTTTGATGGCTGCATGGTATTCCATGGTGTATATGTACTACATTTTCTTTATCCAGTCTATCATTGATGGGCATTTGGGTTGGTTCCAAGTCTTTGCTATTGTAAATAGTGCTGCAATAAACATACATGTGCATGTGTCTTTATAATAGAATGATTTATAATCCTTTGAGTATATACCCAGTAATGGGATCTCTGGGTCAAATGATATTTCTGATTCTAGATCCTTGTGGATCTTCCACAATGGTTGAACTAATTTACACTCCCACCAACAGCATAAAAGTGTTCCTATTTGTCCACAACCTCTCCAGCATCTGTTGTTTCCTGACTTTTTAATGATTGCCATTCTAACTGATGTGATATGGTATCTCATTACGGTTTTGATTTGCATTTCTCTAATGACCAGTGATGATAACCTTTTTTTCATATGTTTGTTCACTGCATAAACTGTTTATATTCTTCACGCACTTTTTGATGGGGTTGTTTGATTTTTTCTTGTAAATTTGTTTAAGTTCCTTGTAATTTCTGGATATTAGATATTTGTCAGACGGATAGATTGCAAAAGTTTTCTCCCATTTTCTAGGTGGCATGTTCACTCTAATGATAGTTTATTTTGCTGTGCAGAAGCTCTTTAGTTTAATTACATGCCGTTGCCAATTTTGACTTTTGTTGCCATTGCTTTTGATGTTTTAGTCATGAAGTTTTGCCCTTGCCTATGTCCTGAATGGTATTGCCTAGGTTTTCTTCTAGGGTTTTTGAGGTTTTAAGTCTTAATGTTTTAATATCTTAATGTTTAATTCTTTAATCCACCTTGAGTTAATTTTTGTATAAGGTGTAAGTAGGGCTTCAATTTCTGTTTTCTGCATATGGCTAGCCAGTTATCTCAGCACCATTTGTTAAACAGGGAATGCTTGCCCCATTGCTTGTGTTTTTTCAGGTTTCTCAAAAATCAGTTGGTTGTAGATATGTGGTGTTATTTCTGAGGCTTCTGTTCTGTTCCACTGGTCTATATATCTGTTTTAGTACCAGTACTATATTGTTTTGGTTACTGTAGCCTTGTAGTATAATTTGAAGTCAGGTGGCATGATGCCTCCAACTTTTGTTCTTTTTGCTTAGGATTGTCTTGGCTATATGGGCTTTTCAGTTCCATATGAAATTCAAAGTAGTTTTTTCTAATACTAGGAAGAAAGTCAATGGTAACTTATTGGGGATAGCACTGAATCTATACATAACTTTTGGCAGTATGGCTATTTTCATACTATTGATTCTTCCTTTCCTTGACCATGGTATGTTTTTCCATTTGTTTGTGTCCTCTCTTATTTCCTTGAGCAGTGCTTTGTAGTTTCCTTGAAGAGGTCTTCACATTTCTTGCATGTTGTATTACTAGGTATTTTATTCTCTTTGTAGCAATTGTGAATAGGAGTTCACTCATGATTTGGTGCTCTGTTTGTCTATTATTGGTGTATGGGAATGCTTGTAATTTTTGCACATTGATTTTGTATCCTGAGACTTTGCTGAAGTTGTTTTTTAGTTTAAGGAGTTTTTGGGTGAGGGCATTGGGTTTTCTAAATATACAATCATGTCATCGCAAACAGACAATTTCACTTCCTCTCTCTCTATTTGAATATCCTTTATTCCTTTCTCTGGCCTGATTGCCTTGGCCAGAAATTTAATACTATGTTGAGTAGGAGTGTTGAGAGAGGACATCTTTGTCTTGTGATGGTTTTCAAAGGAATGCTTCCAGCTTTTGCCCATTGAATATGATATTGGCTGTGGGCTTGTCATAAATAGCTCTTATTATTTTGAGATACATTCCATCAATACCTAGTTTATTAAATGTTTTTAGCATGAAAGGATGCTGAATTTTATCAAAGCCCTTTTCTGCCTCTATTGAGATAATTATGTGGTTTTTGTCATTGGTTCTGTTAATGTGACGGATTACATTTATTAATTTGTGTATGTTGAACCAGCCTTGAATCCCAGGGATGAAGTCAACTTGATTGTGGTGGGTAAGCTTTTTAATGTGCTACTTGATTCGGTTTTCCAGTATTTTATTGAGGATTTTCACATCTATGTTCATCAGGGATATTGGCCTGAAATTTTCTTTTTGTCGTGTTTCTGACATGTGTCAGGATGATGCTGGTCTCATAAAATAAGTTAAGTAGGAGTCCCTCTTTTTCTATTATTTGGAAAATTTCAGAGGAATGAATTCAGATAGTGTGATGACTTCAGCTTTGCTATTTTGTTCAGAATTGCTTTAATTATTTGGGATTTTTTGTAGTGGTATACAAATTTTAGAGTTTTCTATTTCTGTGAAAAATTGTCGTTGGTATTTTGATAGGGATTACATTAAATCTGGATTTTTTTTTTAGTAGTTTGGACATTTTAACATGATCAGTTCTTCCAATCCATGAGCATGGGATATCTTTCTAATGTTGTGTCCTCTTCAGTCTCTCATATTGATATTTTATTATTTTCATTGTAGAGGTTTCTGCCTCATTTTCATTTGTGATAAGAAGGTATAAGGAAGTAAAAGAATTGCCTTAACAGCTAAACTTTGAAGCCTTATGCTAGTCAAAATAATTCTCTTATTGAGGTTCTGGAGTTTTAAAAATCTGCCCCCATTTCTTAGTAATATAAACCTTCAGATTTATTTATTATTGTATAATTTTATCTCTATATGAATAAAAACTTATTTATTGGAAGCAATATGATAGTAATAAGCTCTAATTGAAAATCTTCAATTATCTTACAAGGAAATTTCTTTTTTAAGTTTTATTAAAATATCTGACTGTGGCTCTCACTTTGGAAATTATATTTTGATTATCTGATAATCATACTGAAACCACACTGTTATTGCTATAACATTCTCAAAAAATCTCCTTCTATATCTAAATCCTTGTTTCCAGACTTGGATTTTGCCTCCATCAACACAAATTTAAACATGCATTATAATAGGTAAAATGATACTGTGGGCTATGACAACTTTAGATGATAAATCCAGTGTTTTCTAGAACATTCTTTAAAAAACCCTTCACATTTATTTTATAAAAAATTTTTATAGAAAGTTTTATTGGGTCACATAGGATTGATTGACTTCAATCCTACTGCAACAGTTTGAATATAAAATTTTCTGGCTGCATCCATGATAAAATTAAGAATAGTTAAGAAACATAGCCTCAGTAGTGATTTGGACTAATATAAAGTTCATTAAAAATATGAGTTAAAAAGTGAGTATCATTATAAAACTAGAAATTTATTTTTGGTGAGCTAAGTTATTTTTGCTTTCTCCAATGTTTTATGCTCCCAGTATTACTGCATTGTTATGAATCTTCCCTGGAAACAAAGAAAACAAGAATATAAATCTTTAAAAAATCATCAAAAACATATAATAGCTTAATTTCTTATAATTCTTATCACTCTCTGGTTGATATTTGTGTTCTAAACAAATACATATTTGTGGAACAAGTGTTTAATTTAGAGGAATTACATTTTGTGATGCAATAGTTATTATGTCATATACATAGGAGTAACATTTGGAAGTGAGAGGATCTGGTCCTTTAGGACACACCAGATCCACAACTAGGTCCCTATTCCAGCAAGACCTATAAAGGTCACACACAATTAAGTTCATATATAATTGAGGTATAATTTACTATTAGAACCCTTGTTTCCAGTTTTATCTGTGGGAACAAAACTAGACAGATAAAAGTTCTCTTGCTATGCAGCTATTTATTAAACATGTAACTTTGAGCAATAAAACACTTTCTGAGCCTGCAATTCCACATGTGTATCACCAGGCTAATGATATCAACCTTCTGTGTTGTTGTAACGATTTCAAATAATTCAACAAATTACAAAATACATTGTCTATGTTATTGGAGTCACTCACTAAATGACAAAATATAATACCAAGCATATTTTTATTTTTGTGTGAAACTATAAGACATCAGGCATTGTGCCCAATGTTTTATTTAACATTCTCAGTAATCCTATGAGGCAGTCTCAATCATTAATATCAATTTTAAATATGAAGAATTTAAGACTTAGAGACGCTATGTTGTTCAAGGTCTCATGGTTAATACTAACTATGCAGATGAGTGTAAAATCAGGACTCTCTGACACAACACAAGAGTTCTTAACTGCTAGAATAAACAGCCTCTACTTTGACATCCATCTATCTCTATTATTTATAGAATTATTTACAACTAAGTATTATTCTGTATTTTTAATGATGTATAAAGTTATACCTTATAAACTTACCCTTGCTAATTTTAGGTCAGATGTATAGTGATTATTACTCTACTTATATGATCACAGGTGGCAACTTTACATTTCAGCTTCTAAATCTACCTAATTGATATAGAAGGGGCTAAATGGCATAATCTTGCAATATAGCAGTTTAGTCCGCTAAGAAATATGAATTCTTAAGTTGACTTTCTCTTCTTTGAGAAGATGTAAATTATCAAAGAATAAAGACTTCTGAAATAAAGGAATAACTAGAACATTTTGTTTTATGCAGGATGAAGACAGAATGATGTTTGACAAATTGGTGAAGTGCTGTTTTTGAAGACCTAAGATTTTGACTGGAATTGCCAGAATACTTCGTTACATATTTAAGTCTAGACAAGAAGCATTAGGATAGGGATTCCATCCATCCTGAAGCAGGAGAACCCAACAGTAAAGTTATAGGGACCATACAGCTTGAAACATCTCTGACCGCTTAATGATACCAGATGCTCTGCTGAAAAACTTTTGAAAGTGTTCTTTAAACCTCTTGAGATATTTTTGATTTCTGCTATGGGCATTCCTTGGAATAGAAATCTTAGACTACTATGTATCTTCTGTATCTATCTCTAGGGGCACAATTACTCTAACTCATGACTCCGAGCTTGGAGATAGGGAATCCTTGGCAGAGAAACTTCTGTGGCTGGCTTTTAAATGCTTTTTCTCCTCTTTCTTCCACGAGTCCCTTAATTGTTACGTTGAACGTATTAGACAATATTTTTCAGCTTTCCTTTTAACCTAATCTAGTATTGGGCTTTACTTGTATAAGTTATTTGTATTCATATATGAGAGATGCAGAGCAATTTTGATCACTAATATAGACACATCATGTAATTTACCAAAAAATAGTAATATGAAAATAACTTTATTTTTCTCCTCTCGAGATGCTTATTATGCCTCATAAGATCCCATGAGACTAAATATTCTGTTCAACTTATTATTGAAGGAAATTCCATAAAGATTTTAAGTCTGAAAACACTGAGTCTTGATATTTCCTTAGCATACGTGTGCATTTGCAATTTCTTTCAAAAAAGCCCTACTCGAGGGAGTCAAATTTGTTTAGTTTCTATCTAAAGGTAAAATTTTATTTTGTTTACCCTGTTGATTTCTGTCAATATATTATTATTAATGACAAACTATTTTGTTAATATTTTTACATTTAACTACATGCTGTTTACTTGGAACCAATATTACCAATATATTGCAAAATTTATCACATGGTTTCAATAGTTGCATAAACATTTAAAGGAAAAAAATAGGAGTCGCATCCAATTTGTCTTTTTTTTTTTTAATGGAACAGGGATATAACAGTGCTGCTAGGAATTGGTTTATATTATCAGCATATTACACAGGCTACACATAAAAATAAATCAATTTGTACATGAAAATTCATAATATAAATAAAGACACTGGGAAGTAAACTCTAATATTTCAGCTTTTTTGGTGTTTTAATTTATGTTTGTGTTTTGTTTGGTTAATGGTTGGCATTTGGTCTTAATTTCTCCAGATTGTTAGTTTTCTTGATATCAGAAGATAATTATACAATCCAACTCACCTGGCTGATATAGCATTTTCTAATATGTCATGAAGTAGGTAAATTCTTTTTTTTTTTTTTTTTTTTGAGATGGATTTTTGCTCTTATCATCCTGGCTGGAGTGCAGTGGCACGATCTTGGCTCACTACAACCTCCGCCTCCCAGGTTCAAGCGATTCCTGTGCCTCAGCTGCCCAAGTAGCTTGGATTACAGGTGCCCGCCACCACACCCAGCTAATTTTTGTATTTTTGGTAGAGTTTGGGTTTCACCATGTTGGCCAGGATGGTCTTAAACCCCTGACCTCAGGTGATCCACCCTTCTTGGCCTCCCAAAGAGCTGGGATTACAGATATGAACCACCACACCCCATCGGTAAATTCTTAAACAGAGGCAGAATGATTGGCTGAGATTTCTGTCACTTTCTGCTCTTAAAATACTGTTTTCCTTACAACTTTGTGTGACTTTTGTAGATAGGCTAAGAAATTTATTGGTTTTCCTCAACTATTAAAGTAGGAAGAATATTAGGAATTTCTGAACACTATATAAACATGTTAAAACAATAAAATAGATTATATTCCTTAAAATAGCAAATAAAATATTGGTTCTTTCAGAAATTTTCTCAAAATTGGAACTGGATGACGTGAGTCTTCCATTGTATTGACAGAAAACAACATTTGTGAAATATTGAATTTTATATAATTTTATGAATGCATCTTTTTTAATGGCTGGCCTCTGTGATTTGGATTGAAGATGGATTAATCTATAAGGAATCACTTCATAAAACTATAAGTGACATTTTGTTTTTGTGTCATTGTCATTTCGTAAGTTCTAGATTTCTTCTAGATTTTTCTTAATATAACACTTCTACTCTCTTATACTAAGACACCCCACTACACATTTTTCCTCCAAAATATTAGCGAGCTTCTCGCAGCATGGAAATTTTAGTTTATAGGGTTATAGAGAAAAGAAACAGCATAAAAAGTACTTTCATGTTTCTTTTTTAAATGATCACAGATGTACTAGAAAACGCATTAAAGCACAAAACACAATTATTTTTAATTTCCAAAAGTGGCAATTACAATATCTAGAAGACAAATAAAATGTATTTTGTAGTTCTATAATTAACAACATATAAACTACATTAATAAAATTTACTTTTATTATTAAAAACTCCACTTGCTGTTTAAGGATGCAGTTGCTGTAATTGAATTTTGAAAACTTTGGCATAAACAGTAGGCTCAGGCAGAGCTGAAACTCATAAATGCATGCAACATATAGCATATACTATGGAATAACCTGCGGATTAATAGAAAACATTACCACTTGTTCTTAAGCATTGTGATAGAATTTGCTTAGAATTTACTAAGTGACTCATTTAGTTCATTCTTATGGCATTCAGCTGACATCCCACTTACACAGACTGGACAACACACAATGATATTTTGGTTTACAAATCCGGTGAAAGAGAGTCACAAGTCGCTGAATCACCAAAGCAAAGAAGACTTGATTGGATTGTATAAAAGCAGAATAAGTGGAAAATATGCAGGACTAACAAAAGCATATATCTGATAATCAGGAAAATTAAGACTCCCCCAATCTGCCTGAATTTCACTTCCTAGCAATAAACCCATTCCAGAGCTGCTGTGAGTGTTGGCTGATAACTCTCAGCTGCTACCTTCTCCACTTCACCACCCCCCTATCCAGACGGCTGATTGAAATGTTTCAAATGAACTAATATATAATGTTAGGAAAAGTAACTTTCATTGTTTCCTCATCCATGTGTAAATGCCTCAGCTCTTGTCACCTAGTTGTCATTATGACACAAGCACGATAGCTAGATTTTTCCAACTCTTTGTTTTTTTTTTAACAAAAGTGTTTCAAATCATTTGAAATAATTAATTAGCAAAAGTATAATCTAAAGGATAGCTTTCCTAATTAAGAATTATAATAACCTTATAAGATATAAATTTACATTACAAAAAATCTTTTTGTCCTTCCTTTCTTAGACTTATCTATATAATAGCCTTATTTACATTTTGATAAATTTCCTGCTATATCTATGTTGTATATGCATGTTGAAATATATATTATTTTCAGTAACTCTTACCTAATATTTAGGTAAGCAACCTTATCTGAACTTCTGAACCCAGAGAAGAGGATAGTTCAACTGGAAGAAAATAAATAATTCTTAATCAGGTTCCTACAGAGATTCACAGACTTTTAAAAGTAGTTTTATTTTATCTGTAAACAGAATATTTACATCTTAATATTTATAATTATTAAGGTACTTTAGTGTAGAGAGCAATTTTTATTCATTTTTAAGCTTAACAATTATTATTTGAGTTATGAATGAACCACATTTGAAACTGAGGAGACACTTGAACTATGTTTCATTGTGTAGCTGTTATCTGTTGCCCCAAGAATGTTGCATAATTTATTTTTATTTTTAGAGACAGGGTCTCACTCTATTGCCCAGGCTGAAGTGCAGTAGCACAATCTCAGCTCACTGCAATTTCCAGCTCCCAAGTTCAAGAGATTCTCCCACCTCAGCCTCAAGAGTAGCTGAGACTACAGGTGCTTGCTACCACACCCAGCTAATTTTTAAATATTTTGTAGAGATGGAATTCTTCCACTGTCCAAGTGGTCTCAAAATCCTGGGTTCAAAGGATCCATCCACCTCATTCTCTCAAAGTGCCGGGATTACAGGTGTGAGCCATCACACTCAGTTTAAAAATAAATCATTTTGATTGTGGTTATAAGTGTTGGTTTGAGTATTCTTCTGACTTTAGCAGGGATGAGTTGGGCTAATGTATGTTTCTACAGTCAGGTGCTCCTCAGCTAAAAGTTGGCTTTGCTTATATTGGCCAAGGCTTCTGTAGCATCTGGGCTTTCATTGCCACACATGGGCCTATTGGGCTCTGCTCATGATTCTAATAATGTAGATAAAGTGCAAGAGAGAGGAAATAGAAATGTATAAGCCTCTGCCCACATAAAATGTGTGGCTATTCTGCTAGCTAAAGAGATCATGTGCCCAAACCCAGGGTCAGTGTGGAAGTATCTGACCAAATGCTGTAAAATTGAAGGCCAATAATACAGTGAATCTATTTCAATGATCTGCCCTTCAGGTTAAACTTTCACCAATATATTTTGCTCACCACTATTTTCTCTTTCATGGTTACACTGGTGAGCTTAGAGGAAATAGGAAGACATTTTCTGACATTTGAAGGAAGTGAAGTAACCTAGTATTAAATATGTAGCCTGTGAATATAGCATTATTGTAGGGTCTTTACGTTCTCAGGAGGCAAGACTCCAGTATATTTCTAAAAAAATGTACAATTATTTGACTCGAGGCTCAAAAGAATTATGATGTGAATAAATTGTTTTCAACTCAGTTAAATCCAAAATGTGTAAATTATGTACTGTATACCAGATATAAAAGCCTATTTGCAGGACGCATGCTATTAAAGTAAAAAGAATATTTCATAAATCCGTACTCTTCAACCTTTCAAATGTATTGAATCACCTAAAGATTTTGTTAAAATTCTTATTCTGATTCATCAGGCCTGTGAAACACACAAAATTCTTCATTTTTAAACAGTTGCTAGGTGATTCTAATACTCCTGGTGTGGAACACCACTTTTAGTAGTAAAGTCACAGATTATGCTTTTAATAAACAGAGCCTAATGTGGGAAATGAGAGAGAGGCATATAAACAGAGAAAGTACCCTGTGTAAGTACAATAATTTAAATATGCACAGAAAAGTAGAGCAGAAGGAAAAGTTTGGCACTTTGCATTGAATCAGTCAATACATGAAGCTACCTAATACCATAACATAATAAGGGACGTACAAGAACTGCTACATTGTCAGACCACGATGAGAAAAGCTCAGGGGAATTATTGCAACCGATGCTGTGATATATCGAGTGTGGCTGATGGGGGCCATCTGCATAACTACAGACAACTACAGATGTAAAGTAGCTCTTTAGCACTATTATCCTTGGGACCATGCAAAAG